AATCCCTGTTTTTCTGTGAATGATCTGATTTCTCCTTCGCATTGCATGACAGTTTCACTGAATACAGGATTTTCAGTTGGCAGTTCTTTTCTTTCAGACTTTTGTTTATACTTTCTCATTGTATTTTTGTTTACATAGTTTCTGCTGAGAAGGCAGAGCTTAATCTAACTGATTTTCTTTGTAGGTGACACTTTGGGTTTTTTTGAGCTGCTTTTAGTATTCTATCCTTGCCTTTGAGTTTGGAGAACTTGGCTATGATATGACTTGATGTTTTTTTCATTCAGGGTCTAACCTATTTGGGGTTCACAGAATGCATATTTTTCTTGTTTTTCATGATAGCTGGAAAATTTTCTTGTAGTACTTCTTCCACAAATGTTTCCATGTTCCCCTGTCCCACTCCCTGTTCTGGAATTAAAATCATAAATATGTTGATTTGATGGCTGTCTTCTCACATGACTTTATGTTTTGTTCACTTTTCTTCCATTTTATCTTTGCTTCATATTCTAGGAGGTTCTCATCGAGGGTCTTGTCTAAAGTCTCAGTGACTCTCACCTTTTTTTTTACCAATAGTCTAATTTATTAAAATAGTTGATTTAGGCAACTGCAATGGTAACTTCCACTTATACTTCAGGCTCAATGCTGATGAAAGTGATGTGCTTGATCTCAGAAGGCCTGTGCAAGTCAGTGAGTCACTTATGGACGAATCCAGGTCTTGGAACCTTTACCACAAGGAGTGATTCTCAGAGTCTTGGTTCTCATCCTAATTGGTCCCTTTTTAAGGTTCTTCTTTGTGTCTCAAATCAAGTTAGCACACACCTTTTCCACGGATTTTACACTGTGATTAGTGTAGAGTAATTCTAATCCAGTGAATGGCCACCTCCCGTTTCGTGAGTGTCTTTTCAGTGTCCTTAAAAGCCACAGCTTCAGCATGGCTTCCTGACCAACTTGTTCCCCAGGGAAAGCAAACAGAGGTGAGTCAGGAGTGGGAGTGGGCAAGCAAAGCACACCTGCAGCAGCAACCACATCTTCCTCAGAGAGCTCCTTTAACTATTATTTTAAAAATACGGGTGATCCTGGACTAAGTGCTTCAGCAGTTTGGTTACTGACGGAAAGGAAGCCACTACCCGGATTATGTGGCTTTAAAATTGCCTCTGCCTCCGCTAGTGTATTTTGGGGCAGGTTGGTTTTTTTTTTCCTCGCGGATTCACCGCCAATGGAGCAGCGTGCCCAAGCCCCCGCAATGCACTCTGGGATGTCCATGTTTTTTCTATTATAATCTACTATCAGTTCGGTTGTACATTCCCTAACTTGTGGTGGTTTGTTGTTTTTTTTTTTTAATTCTTGTACCCTTTTATTTATCATTTCAATTCTTTTTTTCCATGATGTAAAATCATAAGGTTGTAGACTCAAGAAAGGGAACAGAATATAGGAAAGCTTAAAGGCAGCTTTATTAAGGGAGCTCCTGGGCCAGATTCCTTGGTCTGGAAAGGAGGCAGAGGAAGCCACGCTGAGTGTGTATTAAGGGTGGGTTTTTATAGCAGGGCCTTCAGGGATAAGGAAAGGTAGGGAGGGACATTCCATTGTGGTTTATGGTTCACCTGTTTGCCCAGGTGGGCAAAGTCATTTATTCTCTCCTGTGGACATGTCACATCCTTTTGATTCCTCTTCCCCTGGCCTAACACATGATCTGTAACTTCATGAGTACCAATACTTGAATTCAATGTATGTTCTTGAATTTTTTTTCCCCCAAACTCTCTGTCTCCGACATTTTTTATAAATTTTTTTTATTTTGTGTGCGTGTACCGTCAAATCAGATCTGACTGGTACAGGAGGATATTGCGCCTCCTTCTCCGGCAGAGCATCTGGTGGATTCGAACCGTGTTCCTCTGGGATTGTAGTGCAGCTTCTTGCCAGTAGGCCACCAGAGCTCCCCGTCTCCGATATATTATTGAATGGCTTTTTTAGTAGAAGGCTTATTTTGGGTTCCCTTTCCCTAATTATTTAAGTCTGACTGCTGTTTTCTTGACATTGTGTATGATTCTTCTTGGTATGTGGGAGACAGGTTCTGTTATGTCTGTGTAGCTACACGTTCCTTATTTTTGCAATATTAATGATAGCGTTAGAAATTCTAAGTCTTTGAACAATCTTGAATGAAGGATTGCTCAGGTGTTTGTTTCTATTCTTGCTCTGAGGGCAATCCTCTCCTCTGCTCTTTTATAGGCAGCAGCAGATAGATGGGATCCCAACCTCTGCCCTGTGGTTGGCTAGCAGTGATATTCTTCTGGGTCCTGGGAGGCACTTGCTTAAGGTCCTTGCTAGTCCCAGATGAGGACTGGGCTTAGCTTCTCATAGATCACAGGTAGGGACTTTGCTGGGGTCTTCCTTGGTCCTGGGTTGGGACTTGCTCGGGCTTCTCTCAGGTCTTTGGGTGTGTGTGTGTGTGTGTATGGGAACTGCCACATATCTGGGGCAAGAAATTGCCTGGGCTCCCACAGGTCCAAGGCAGAGAATTGCCTAGAGTCCTCACTGAATCTGAGCAGGGACTTCAGATTTATACTTTTAAAAAGAAATATTTACAATGGCTATATAGGGTGTATGAATATGCTAGTTTCTCCTCTGGTGAAGGTTGGACAGCCTCATTCCTTGTGATTTGTTGTTGTTAGATGCCTTCAAATTGAATATGACTCATATTGACTCTATGAACATCAAATAGAAACCATATCCAATCTTTATCATCTCTGCCACATTAGAGCCCATTGCTACAATCACTGCGTCAATCCATCTCATTGAGGGTATCCCCTCCTTCACTGACCCTCCACTTTTCCAGTCATGATGTCTTTCTTCAAGTCTTGAGCCCTCCAACAACATGCCCAAAGTATGTGAGATGAAGTTTCACCATCCTTCCCTCAAAGAAGCGTTCTCATAGCTATTCATTCTCTTGGCAGTCCATGGGACATTTAATACCCTTACCCAGCCTGATAACTCAAAAGCATCAATTCTTCTTTGGTGATCTTTATTCACTGCCCAACTCTTAGATGCATAGCAAATAATTGGGAAGACTAAATGTTGGATCAGACATTCCTTTGTCTTTAAATTAACATGGTTGCTTTTCAGCACTTTGGAGAGGTCCCTGACTGTAGGCTTTCCTAATGCCAGTGTTTTTCGGTACCTTGCAATTTACTGTCTCCGAATACCTGATGGAAACTCAGTTATGAGTTAGTCCTGACTCAATAGCAGTGAGTTGAGTTGAACTGGAGTAACTGCCACTGGCCTATGTGAGAAACAAGGCCTAGGCACCTTGAGGACAGAATGTAAGCAAACTGTGTACTGCTACTCTGTGTGTCCCCAGTCCATCTGATTTGCATAAGGGATTTTATTCATTCATTCACTTGCTAACTAGGACTCCTGTCAATTCTGACTCATAGATCACTCCATTGGGTTTCCACAGCCATAGATTGAAATATGAAGAGACTGCTCATTTTCTCTCCAAACCTCACTTTCCAGAGGAGGAACTGGTGGACTAAAATTCCCAGAGAGGCATAACTTTTGCAACAGCAGCTCAACTTGCAACTTGCTATGGACTATACCTCTTGGGCTCTATACGGGAGGTCTCATACTGCAGGAATGGCAGATCCTAGGAAGGGCCTCTTTCTTTCTCTATGAGAGTAAGATGCTATCTCTCCACATCTCACCCCTTTGCTCTGGACTGTAGCAACCTTTCAGAAGGCCCTGCTCTCAGCACTCGTGTGTCCCCAAACCTGCACCTATGCTTTCATTCTTTGTAGGTACATTGGGGTCCCACTTAGACATGGCGTGCAGAGCAGTCACTCTAGAACATGGCCACAGAGCTGCTACCTCCACCGCAACTTACTGATGCCAGAGGAGTTAGCCCATACAATGAGAGAGATCTTAACTCTGAATTAATAATTGTGCTCCAGCAAAGAGATTTCCAGAAAGAAAGCCTCTGAGCCCCATTCCCTTCCACTGAGAAATGACTAGAACTGAGCACTGCCTTCCAAGACCCTGTGCAATGAGCAGCTTCAGCCCAAGAGAAATCACTTGAGGTGGGGAATGCTTAGCAGCAATTTGGGCTGGAGCAGGGGAACTAGGTTGCAAGGACATGTCTTCCAGGACAAGATCTGCCGGGCAGTCAAGGTGGTTACTGTTATGTGCTATAGCAGATCCTCTCTACAGGAGCTGCATTGTGCATAAGAGATTGGCCATCTGTCTCCTACAGAGCACCTGATGGATTCAAAACACCTCCCTCTGGTGTGGGAGCATAACTCTTTATCCATGAGGCTATCAGAACTCTCTAGGAAGGACAGGGTGTAAACCTAACATTCAGGGCTGGAATATGCAATAAACAAGATAAGGGCTGCCTTACTTGTGCTTGCTTACTAATCTGTAATAAACAGTTTTGTGTGTTTTTCATTACCTCAAAGATTACTGTGTAAGCACAAGTTACCTTCCTCATTAGGAACTCCATCCTTGTCTGAGAGTGCAAATTTGAAAAGAAGCATTGGTTATGTAGGAAGGTTCAGTGGGAAAGGGAGAGAAGCAGATGCCCGCCAGACCTAGAAGCAGAATCTATGATGTGGAAGAAGGTGAAAAATTGTCTACCACACTCCCTGCATTTACCCTGCTCATTGGGCAATCCAACATTGCAAAGGACGTGGAGGACACTGCCACTGCCATCTTACATAGGAGGAAAGTGAGGCTCAAGGACACTGGCAGGACCCAAACCCACACCCCCATACAACCTCGCTAGGCCCCCCAAGAAGATTTCCTAAGTGGGAACATTGGTCAAACAGCTTCCTCTGGAATCAGAAAACAGTAGCCAGGGGAGAGGCAGTAAATAGGTTCCTTAAGCAACCTAGTTGTAAGGAGCACCAGCTTTCTCTGGTGTGGGTTTACACTGCCCCTCCTGACATTGCCTCTGGACATCTAGGCCATCCAAGCGGAGTCTGAACCTGCCTGATCTACTCATGTCTCCCTCACAGTTGGGTGTAGTGTACACTGAAGGTGGCTTTGTAGAAGGCGTCAACAAGAAGCTTGGCCTTTTTGGTGACTCTGTGGATGTCTTCAAGGGCATCCCTTTCGCTGCTGTCCCCAAGACCCTGGAGAACCCACAGCAACACCCTGGCTGGCAAGGTGCGAGTTGGTGGGTGCTTGGTGGGGCTGTGTGTCTAGAATCTTAGCCATGCACATGCCAACTCTTCCTGTCATTTGCAGAGTGCCTTGGGACAATGAGTTTTTAATTGCTGACCAGTCCCTCACCTCTGGCACTGGATATGACCAATAGGAACTGCTCATAGTTGTCTCCACAGTGGAATCCATGTCGTACTTGCCAGACCCCTTATCTACTTCTGCCTGCAGGGACTCTGAAGGCGAAAGAATACAAGAGTCAGTGCCTGCAGATCCACAGGTTTCAGGGCAAAACAGAAGGGTCAGAGGACTGCCTGTACCTCAACATCTGGGTCCCCCAGGGCAAGAAGGAAGGTAAGCCCGTCTCCTAATGCCTATTGAATTCACTTATCCCAGCATAAGGCACCAAGGAGTCTAAGTCTCAGGCTCAATCAACTCCGCTGTGTCTGTGAACACCAAGATGAACGTTCTGTAAATCACTCTGTGTGTGTGTGTGTGTGTGTGTGTGTGTGAGAGAGAGAGAGAGAGAGAGAGAGAGAGGCTCTCTCTTCTGTCCCCAATCTGGTAGCAGGGATGACTCTTGGAGGTCACAAGAGCAAGCCTTCTGGGAGATTAGACAGGAAGGGGGACTGGCCAGGTGTCTGAGGGTCACTGGGTCTTCTTGCTCCTGTTCCAGTCTCCAGAGACCTGCCTGTCATGGTCTGGATTTATGGTGGTGCCTTCTATATGGGATCTGCACAGGGAGAACAAGTTCGTGGCACCCGCATGCATGACGGGGAGCAGATCGCCACCCGTGGCAATGTCATCGTGGTCACCTTCAACTATCGTGTGGGTCCCCTTGGCTTCCTCAGCACTGGAGATTCCAATATGCCAGGTTTGCTCAGCACTGGAGGCCTTGGTTGTGGGGGTAGTGAGTGTGCCCCCATTCCACGAACTCTAAATCCAGCAGGGATGCTCCAATTCCCCTGTTCCCAATCATCTCCTGGCAGCTCTATGGAAAGATCCAGAATCTCTTTCACTGTGCTGAATACTGGATTTGAATTACAAAACTCAGGTGTAGAGAAATAAAACAGACTGCCAGACATTGAGACAGAGACCAGAGAGAGAGACTAAGGGAGGGAGGGACTGCAAAGCCCAGGGAGATACACACTGAGACACAGAAACAGACCAGAGAGATAAACAATAGAGGGATCTTAGCAGAGAAGGGGGAAATGAGGGGAACCAAGCTGTCCTCCCACTTCTGCCACAAACTCCTAAATCTCCCCACACCCAACCTAGGCCCAGACACCTGGGGGCTTCCATTTGCTATTCCTGTTTTTTATGCATTTGAGGATACTAACCCAATTCACACTTACCATGTATCATCTGTGTAACTGGCTCTAGACCTCTTGTCTTTAGCATCTCCACCTCCCTGCCAGGGGCCCCCAGTGAATACACCACCCCCTGTCCCATTCTCAGGTAACTATGGCCTTCGGGATCAGCACATGGCCATTGCCTGGGTGAAGAGAAACATTGCAGCCTTTGGGGGAGACCCCAACAACATCACTATCTTCGGGGAATCAGCTGGAGGCGCCAGTGTCTCTCTGCAGGTCTGGACTTCCCAGAGTGAAGAGTCTGCTTCAAAGGGTTTAAGAAGAAGCTAATGGGTGTGGGACAGACAGGAGGGGAAGAGGAGGCTGGAGCTGACACTCTGGGAGTCTTGGGCTGAGCCTGGGCTGGAGCAGGGTGGGCGAGGCCTTGGTGACAGGACCTCTGTGTGTTGCAGACCCTCTCTCCCTACAACAAGGGCTTGATCCGGCGAGCCATCAGCCAGAGTGGCGTAGGAGTGAGCCACTGGGCCATCCAGAAGAACCCACTCTTCTGGGCCAAATGGGTAGGTGGCAGGCAGGGGTGGGCATGGATGGAGGTCAGCTCAGATGCCTAGAAGGAGTCTTCCACCTTTCCATTGTCCCCAGTCATTCTGTCCTGAGCACTGGCCTCACTTACCCACTTACTACTTCCTGCCCCCCACAGATGGCCAAGAAGGTGGGCTGCCCTGTGGATGACACCTCCAAGATGGCCAAGTGTCTGAAGGTCACCGATCCGCAGGCCCTGACTCTGTCCTACAAGAATCCTCTCACTGGTCTGGAGGGTGAACTGGGAGGTCTGGTGTGAACTGGGAGGTCTGATGTGAACTGGGAGGTCTGGTGTGGGGCATGGGAACTCAAGTTCTGGGAGGGGCCTGCATGCAGTGCAGAATCTTGGCCCCAGAGAGGAGAGCATTGTGTCTTATCTGGGACTTAAACCAGTCACCAACTTGCAGAATTCCCAGCATTTGAATTAAATTGCTCCTTTTGAAGCCTCAGGGCCCCAGTTGTAAATGCTGGAGAGAGCCAATATTCCTTCTTATCTTCCATGATTCATGTAGCTCTTTGAGAAACTGAGGAATATTTGATGAATATCCAGCAATGGATGCATATATGCAGTGTTCACCCCCAATTATAGGACAACTCATAGACCCCTTTAAAGTCTGCCTGAGAATCCAAGGATCTCAGAGCAAGAAATTTGTATTAGATGACCATTCCATTATTCAACAGGTGTATTATGAGCCCCAGATGTAGCTTTTGATCATCCATCCCTAATGATTTTTACCTGGGAAGGTTCAAGCAACCCATCAGGACAAACCCGTTACCTGGTGCACTAGAAGTCTCTGCAGCTTATTAAACTCATGCAAAGTACAATGAAGCCCACCACATAATTTATGTGAATGAACCTTACACGTGGGCAAACACAGAGCCAACTTTCATTTAGAATTTGGCCAAAGGAAGAACAAGGTCCCCCATGCCTTCAACTGCACTGGGCTGGTCCTAAGAAAGCTGGGGCATTAACTTGTGCTATATGGTTCCTTGAGGGCCTAGTGCATGGGCTCTGGAGGGCATTGTGGGCCTCTCAGAACTTTTGGCTAATAGACAAGAACCTAGACCTGAGAAAGAGGTGAATTTCTTCATTAACCCCTGCAGTTGCTGCTAGGTCTCTTTCTGCTGAATTTATTCCAAATGAGAAGACAGAGGGGAAAGGGGCTCACCCTGCAATAAGAGGAAAGATGTGGCCTCTATACTAGGATATTCTACCAGGGGTGATTTTGTTTCTGGAAACTTATGGCAACATCTAAAGTTTGTCAGAAGTGTTTGCTACTGGCACCCAGGGCATTACAAACATCTAGTAATACATAGGACAGCCTCTCAAAACATAGAATAGTCTGGCTCAAAATGTTAATAGGACAGAAGTTAAGAAATTCTACTCTGGATATAAGAAGGAAGGAGATCCCCACTGCACGTCATAGAGAGGGGATCCGTTCCACACTCAGGGGTAGAGAGGATGGTCGGGGGGGATACTGGATGGTATGAGAATGTGTTGGCTTTTCCATCCAGAGCCTGCATCCAATAGTCTGGCCTATGTCCCGGTTGTGGATGGAGACTTCATTCCCGATGACCCCATGAACCTGTACGCCAACGCTGCCGACATCGACTACCTATCAGGCACCAACGACATGGATGGCAGCTTCCTGTCCATTGTTGATATGCCAGCGATTGGCCAGACTAACAAGGCTGTGACAGAGTAAGCTGAAGCCAGGATGGTGCTGAAGGCTGCTGAGGGCAGGTATCAGCCTGAGAGAGGTGGTCTCAGAGGGTGAAGACACTAGCACAGGGGTGGGAGTGAAGGAGTTACGAAAAGTTTGTACTGGCAGTGGGAGGCTGTTCAAGGGTGGGAGTGAAGGAGTTAACAGGATGCTGGGGTGGGAGTGTCCGTAGTTCTCTTCTGAGGGTGTGTGTGGGCACCTCCTGTTGGTACTGGGTAGAGTCCAGTGTCTGCTTACTCCCTGCAGGGAGGACTTCTACAATCTAGTCAGGAAGTTCACCATCACCAAGGGCCTCCCAGGTGCCAAGGGCACCTTTGACATCTACACCGAGTCCTGGAATGACCACCCATCCCAGGAGACCAAAAAGAAGACTGTGGTGGATTTTGAGACTGACCTCTCTTTCCTGATACCTAACAAAATGGCTGTGGCCCAGCATAGACTCAATGCCAAGTAAGGACATGAGGGTGGGGGTGGGAGTGGCTCCCATGAAAGACTCACCTGGGAGACCACACCCAGCTGCCAAAGCTTACCCAGTGGCCGGCTCCTGGGTGTAAGGATGCTTGGAAATGTCCCACTCAGTTCCTGATCTCTCTGCCCCATCTCCTTTATTCAGACCTGACAAGTGTCAGCAGAGCCTCTTTGTCTTTCTCAGTCTACAATCCCCTCCCATTGTCTGCCATGTGTCTGATGGTCCTCTAACTTATTCAGTCCTTCCCACTGGGAGTTCTTAAGTCTCTCCTCCAATCCTTATGCTGTGTAGATGAAGAGCACATTGGACAATGGTTTTGTTCAGTAATGCTAAGGGACTTCAATATTGAAAGCAATGTTAAGGCCCTCAAGAATTACTTTCAACTCAAGCATGTGACCACATGGTTTTGTGCTCACTCGTCAATCCTGACTCACAGTAGCCCTACCAGACAGAGTAAAACAGCCTCAATTATCATCTTCCCAGGAACAGAAGCAGCTCAGATGGGTTCAAATTTCTCCCCTGAAGCACCTGGTGAATTCAAATAGCTGACCTTTCACTTAGAAGTCTAGCACTTAGAAATAAAGCCACTGGGGCTTCTCTGATCACATTAAAAATCATAATAACTCATGGCCATCAATACAACTCTGATTCATGATGGCCCCAAGTGTTCAGGGTAGAACTGTGCATCATCAGGTTTTCAGTGGCTGATTTCCTGAAGTTTATCACCAGGGTTTTCTTCCAAGTCACTTCTGAGCAGACTTAGATCGCCAGCCTTTCTGTTGACATCTGAGGGCTTAACATTGTATTGCTGGAGTACTTAGAAAAATATGAAGACATATTAAAACTGGGCATCTAGGCTAAATGCTTTGAAACATCTGTCAGTAAATTTAACTGTCAAGGCAGAGAGGGAAACAACTGAGGGCAATTACCTTTTTCAATTAAATGAAGACTACAGATCCATCTGCAGAGGGCAAATCTTTCTTGGTGGTCCACAGTTATAAGAGGAAATGCCTCAAACCTTTGTGTCAAGGTGAGGAATAATTAAAAAGTCAAATCCATAAGTCTGGCTTACAAGTTCCTATCTCCAGAACGAACAATCCTACTTTCTTTGTGGAACCTCTCTAGAATCTCCCTTGCACCCACCCTCCCCACCACCCCCTACCTCACCCACAGACTCCCTTTGAGCCTGTCTCTGTTTTGGACAGCTCAGGTGAGCATCCACCAACATGAGGCCCTTCCTACTCGTATACAGGAGCGCCAAGACCTATACCTACCTGTTCTCTTACCCATCACGGACGCCTATCTTCCCTAACTCGAAAGGAGCTGACCATGGAGATGACGTCCAATATGTGTTTGGGCAGCCTTTTGCCACTCCTCTGAAGTATGGACCTGAAGACAGGACTCTCTCTGAGGCCATGATTGCCTACTGGACCAACTTTGCCAGGACTGGGTAAGATTTGAGGTTGAACCCAGGAACACCTGAGACAGGAAACATGGGAACTTCTTGTACTGCCTCAAGTTGACCTATCTCAAGTTTACCTAGGGTCCCTGCACCATCACTTAACAACTTAGGAGAGTCACATGGCCTTTATGAACCCACCTTTCTCCATCTGCCACAGCAGACAGAAGTTACCAGCATGCACGCTACTCTGAATCAGGCCTTCAGAGTGCTCAGGCCAGTGGCCAGTTCACAGGGTGGCATTGCTGTCAGGATCTAGCCTGGAGCAAGGGAAGCGTGTCCAGACATGCAATAGGGCAGACTTGTCCAGACATGCAATAGGGCAGAGCTGGTTATTATACAGGTCTCATCTCTTGTGAACCTAGAGACCCCATTTTGTCTTCTCTCACTTTACAGGGACCCAAATATGGGTCACTCGGCTGTCCCTACACACTGGGATCCCTACACCCTGGAAAATGACAACTACCTGGAGATCAACAATAAGATTGATAACAACTCCATGAAGCAGCATCTGAGGACCAAGTACATGCAGTACTGGGCCCTGACTTACCAGGCACTGCCCACGGTGACTGTTGGGGAGGTTTCCCCTTTGCCTCCCAGTGACGACTCTGAGGTGGCTCCCTTGCCCCCAGAGGATGACTCAGAGGCTGTCCCTGAACACCCTACAGGTGACTCTGAGGATGCTCAGATGCCCGTAGTTCTTGGCATCTAATGTCCCATGATCCTTGTCCTCAAGAAGTCATACTGGTGGGAAGCTCAGGGGTCATCTCCCCTTCCATATTCTTCCTGAATAAAGTCTCATCCTTATATATTTGTTGTCTTTTTTTGTTCCAAAGACTCAGCTAGAGGAATGAGATGCAACCATTTCACTTTAAAACACATAGAGTTCAGGTGAACACTTAACAACACTCTCTTGGTCAAATTGTCAAGTTCCCAGTAGGTCAGTATTACAATTCTCATTTTAGAGAAGGAGGAGGAGGTTTTAGAGTTACAGGGCAAACTCAGCATTGCGATTCGGCTTGTGTCCCTCCATAGCCTGTCCCTCTGTGCCAGACTGCTGGCTCCTGATGGGCTGAACTTGGTCCTAAAGGGTGAGATGGTGTCAGCGGTAATGAGAGAGAGGGGTTGGGCTCTGCAGAGGGCTGGCCCCTTGGAGGCAGTTGTAGTTCAACTCAGTCTCATTATGGTCTCTGGTCCTTGGTTGCCTCTGCTCTTACTGGTGCTGCTATTGGGCTGGTCTGCCTCTCTGTCTTGTTTAGGAATCTCTGGCTCAGGGACATGCTGTACTCTCCATGTCTTCCTTCTTGATGATAGTGACTTCCTGTTCTACAATTCTGAAATTGCTCAACTTAACCTAGTGGAATGACAAAACAGTCCAATCACCTCTTTATTATTTTTTTAATACCAAGTAGTTTATTATATGCTGTTACCAGTATATATAAAATAATTACTAACTTTGTGAAATAGAAACTTATGAAAATTCAGTGAGGTAGATATTAAGACAAAAGTAGAAAACTATGTAGTATAGCACCTAGGCTGTAGGGATAAGCTTTTGTACAGGCTTCATCTTTAGCTCTCCTTTGAATAGTCACTGGTTCTTAAAAGTGGTTTAGGAAACCTTTTTTATTTTTAATTTATTATTAATTTCAATGAAAATTTACAGACTTTGGATTTCCATTCATTCATTGATTGTTGCACTTTTCTCCCCTCCCAACTCTCCCCCCTAGTACACTACCCTCTCAGAAAAGTAAAAAAACAAACAAAAAAAAAACAACCAAAAAACAAAAAACCAAAAAGCCTTTTATTGTTTTACAATCCCTCCCCCCCAGGTCCACTCCTTTGCTCTGGACTCCTGTCATGACAAAAATACCTAATAACATATTCCTAGTAAACAGTTTTCTCCCTCATCTGTTTCAGTGCAGTATACATTATTGAACCCATCTTTCTCAGTCTCCCCCCAACCCCGAGGTCATTTTACAACAGAGGCATCATGTAGTATTTGTCCTTTTGTGACTGAGATACTTCACTCAGCATAATGTCCTCCAGGGTCACCCATTTTGAATAATATTACATGAGTTCCTTGCTTTTCAATGCAGCATAGTATTCCATTGTGTGAATATACCACAGCTTCTCTATCCATTAATTCGCTGATGGGCACTTAGGTTGTTTCCAACTCCTTGCTATTGTGAACAAAGCCGCAATAAACATGGGTGTACATATATCTGCTTGGATGTCAGTTATGGTCTCTTTGGGATATATTCCCAGTAATGGAATTGCTAGGTCAAACGGTATCTCTATTTGCAACTTTTTGAGAAAGCGCCATACCGCTTTCCACAGTGGTTGCCCCTGGTCTAGGAAACCTTTGAAAGATTCATTTAACTACAAAAATGAACAGACTTTATGGGGTATAAGTTATCAGGTCAGGGGTTCTCATGATTCCCTGCATGTCTAACCAGCAAGTCTTCTGTCATTTTTAGCATCTGTGTCAATGGATGTCAATGGAGCATGTCCAAATTCGGCACATCTCTTCATTTCTGTTTTCCTCCACTTTCACATGTCCAGCAGACTCAGGGGGTCACTACAAGTGAACATACCATGGTCTCTCCTTGCAATTCCCTTTTAACTTTTGGTCCTGGAAGCAACTTTTGATGGACGTTGGTTTTTCTTGCTTTGGTGCACCAAAAACCAAACTGATTGCTTTAAATTTAAAAAAATAATCAATCTTTTTTTCCCTCCCATCTCCCTCTCTATTAATATTTCCTTCAAATATAAATATCTCCTCCTAGCTGTGCAGACTAAGCCTATAGCTCCATTCAAATACAAATTTCCTCACTCATAGTGCTGAGGGAAAGTCAATTGACAACAAGCATACTGTGCACCTACATATACTCCCTGTTCTAAATGCACTAATGACCACCTGAATCACCCACAGTGGTGGCCATCCCACAGTCCTTAATTAGAGAACTGTCATGTATTGTTGACCAATAGCTGACCCTACAGTGAGTTTTCAAAGGCAGTTCATCACATGGGAGGAGATTACTCATCTTTCTCCTGCTGAAAGCTGGTGGGTTCGAACCCCACGCCTTTGGGATTGCAGTACAAAAAAGTCAGTAGAAACTGCTTACATGATCTAGGGAGTTAGGAAAATAAAGAGAAACGTCAAAAGAACCAGCTCACATGATCCAAATAAATAGGAAAGCAGAAAAAAAATATCAAAGGAAATTTCAGATACACAGTAACACATTCTAACTTCCTAGCATGTGTACACTTTCTCATATACATCTACCTAAGCATTTGTTAGAACCTAAACAAAGTCATAGGAAACACAAATACCTGATGTTAGAAAAGATAGTGTCTTAACATCAAAAGGCCATTCATTGTCTTAGAAACCCAGAACTGTTAGGATCATGGTCAGGAGAGACTGGGTGGAGACAGTGTTGAAGTGGATATCATTGAGATAATGAAGGCTGGAGAATACATTTGAGCCAATGGAGAGTAGAGATCAAATGAAATGGCTAAGACTAGGCTCTTCTCAATCAGAACCAAGAAATTCATTGGACTGAGATGCCTTATGATCTTGACATGCACATCAGAGATTGCTCCAGAAAGTGACATAAAAAACAATAGGTCCAAATCACTCACCATGTTCTTCCATTGACTTTCCACCATTTCATCCCATTGGCCCACATTCCAGCCCACAAAGGTGTCAAATTGTGGAGTCACTCAGGTATATCAGTGTGTGTGTGATTCAACATCTTTCTCCATTTCTTCACTTCCAGAGACTGGCCTATCTCAGAAGAATTTCTCTTTTTCTGACATGTTTCTTTTCTAATAAAACTGTCCTCTTCATCCTGTCTCCTCATCTCTCCTCTTAACCATGCATCCTAGCAAGTTTCTGCCCTTTGCCAGATGGATCAGTTCCAACCACTGATCCTCTATTGTGTCACATCCAGTACAGTTCTTTGCCTGGACAAAGGGAGACTGGGTCTGGGTATTCACTGCAATGGAACAAGAGCTAAGATCTTTTTCAGAATGCAAACAAAACTGGATGAAACTGGGTCACACGTATGCAAAGCAAGCAGTTACCTGACAGAGCAGTGACCTGAAAAAGTGATTCAGAGAGTGGGACTCAATCCAGAGGCTAGAGTAACTACACATGTACCAATATCTCATACTGAGTCTAGCGATTACCTCCCAGATCCTTGCCCCTGAGCCCTTCTTGAAATTGTGTGTACGGAAATGAAGAAGGAGAGCTATAACCATGGACAGAAATAATGCAAACACTGTACTCATCACACTCCTGAAAAACACCCCTTCCAATGAGAAACAGTCCTATAAAAATTCTGACCATTTATTTCTCACTTGCATTCTTTATAGACCCTACTTGTTCCACATCCTGCAATACTTTCTTACTTTCACATAAACCATTTCTTCTTTTTATTGATTATGCAAAGGAATTTGACTGTGTGAATCATAACAAATTACAGATAAAATTGAGAGGAATAAAAATTCAACATTTAATTGTGCTCATTTGGAACCTATGCATAGACCAGAAGGCAGTTGTCCAAACAGAACAGAACCAGGGAAAATGGCATGGTTTAAATTCAGGAAAAGAGTACTTCAGACTTTTCATTTCCACACCTATTTAATATGTATATTAAGCATATAATTCAAGAATCTGGACTATATGATGAAAAATGTGGTATTAAATGTGGAAGAAGGCTTGCCATTAGCCTATTTTATGCAGATGACACAATCTTGCTTGCAGAAAGTGAAGATGACTTGAAGCACTTACTGAAGAAGATCAAAGAATATAGTCACCAATATGGGTGACTCAATATCCAGAAAACAAAATACCTACCAATGATCCCATAGACAACATCATGATAGAGGAAAATTTAAAGTTGCTAAGAATTTAATTTTACTTGCATCCACAGTAAACACTCAGGGTAACAGTAGTCAAGAAATCAAAAGTAGTTTTACCTTGGGAAAATCTACTGTCAAGGATTTTTCCCTAGTGCTAGAGGGCAACAGTGTCAGTATTTTCTGTAGCTTCCTGTGCAACTGGAATTAGAACAAAGGATAATAAAGACCAAAGAAGAATATATGCCTTGAAATTGTGGTGTTGAAGATTCTTGAGTACACCACAGACTGCCAAAAAAACATACTAATCTGTCTTGGAGGATGTGCAAGCAAGCTGTTCCTTAGAGAAAGGAGAGTGAGACTTCATCTCATATCCTTTGATCATATTGTCAGGTGGAGAAAGAGTCCTTAGGAAGAGACATAATGCTAGCTAAGTTAGAAGGTCAGTGAAAGAGATGAAAACTCTCAATGAGATGGATTAAACAATGACTTATGTTACATTTGTGTTATGATAGGATGTGGAAGATTTGTAAGGATTCTCTATGATCTGATAAACCAAATAGGTAGGTGCAGGAGGATTAAGGATGGGATGCAACACAGCCCTGATCCAGTGTATGGGCATTTCGTTAAGATGGGGGCTGTAAGATCTTTTACCTCACTAGATATAAAAGGGGAGGATATTGAGAAAAGGAGACTTCAGTACCACCAAGAAAGAATTGCCAGGAGTGAGTGCATCCTTTTAGACTCATGTCTCTATTCAAGGAATTTCCTTAATCCTGGAGAAGACCAGCACACATAGAGATCCCTACAGAAGGCCTGGCAAGAGATGCTGAAGGTACAACCAGCATG